AACTGTGTACGAAAAGAACACAAATGACAGAAACTTCACAAAGACTAAATTCCAAGGTGCGATGCGCCTTGTGCTTGTTTAATTAGCAGGAGCTCTCTGGGACCTCGCAGAGCTCATATTAGCACGCTTAATTGTAGAAAATCTTGAACTTGTGTGAATTCAAGCGGTACTTTGGAGCTCATTTTGTCTGATATAGCCTGGTTAAATCAATAGTTCATTCAAGGAAATAGAGAAATTAATAGGGAAAGAAACACTCAAGTGCAGACGGCTGAGTGGAGTGATGACAAGAAAGATAGCAGAAGGAAGTTAAGAAGGACACAAAGGAAATGTGAAGTTAGGAAGAAAGGAAATGAAGACATTTCAGGACAAACAGAGGAGAGGGAGCTCATCATGAAACTAAAAGAGTAACGGAGCAAGGGATCACGGAAAGGGAGTGAGGAGGCGGAGTGCACAATAACAGCAGTAATCAATCAGAAATCATCTTGCAGCGGGCCCCTCCAGTTTGACAACGAGGCTTTGGTTCTGTAGAGTACAGCCCACCAGTGACTACCTTTCAACCCTGCACATCCTGCTGCTCTGCGATAGGATAAGAGCGGAACCGACGGCGCTAATTGGCTTGCTTCCCTGTCGGATTTCTCCAGCGCTGCAAACAGAGGAGTGGGGGAGAGGATATATCATGTTGTATGTGGATTTGTAAACAGCGGATCAAAACCCCCGGCTTTCATGTCCCTTAAATTGGCGGAGGGGGTGTTGGTTGAGCTGTCACGCCGGGGCGCGTGCTGATAGCGACGGCTAAACATTGATCCTGACTGACTGAGTGACTGACGGGACGCTGGGACAGACGGGATGTGTCAGTGCCCAGCAGGTCTGGTGGGGGCAGTTGAGCAATGACAAACCCGGTGATTGGTGACACACACTCGAAAGCAGATGGAGTAATAAAGGACGTACAAATACACACAGCTTCACCAGTCGGCGGCACGTCGGATGTCACCTGGGAGCGACACTGGCTCGATGACACAACCAGAGGATGTTAGTCACAAGCTGTATCCTTCAAACCCTGACCTTCTGATTAAGTCACGTTGGATCAAACCATAATATGTCTAATCCTCGCAAAAACAAGAAGTATGAGCTGAAGCATAAGCTGTACACACTATGATTAACGCCAAGATCAACTTCCCAAGGACGAGAAACTTGTAAAAATATCACTTTGTGGTATAGAGCACAAGGAGCCTTTATTTTTGGATAAAATAATATTGTTGGCAAAGGTTTTATTAAAGTCAGAAAGTGTAATGTAAATATCCTTGTTTGATAAAGACATCTGAAACCCCTGACCAGGTTATCCTCTTTGTTCTACAGAGTATGCGGATGTGGCAGCGGCACTGAGAGAAAACAGCAGAGCAGCCGGAGTTCCAGTGTTAGTCTTTCTGCGGTCTGTCAGTGGCGCGGCCCCCGAGGCTACGTTCCAGGCAAAGATTTCACTGCTGTCTGCTGAATACAGACAAGACAGGCAGTCAACCTCTACTGAGGAAGGTCTGAAGGGCACCGCCATTTGTCTTGGCTTATTTAGCAATCAGGGAGACGAGACGCGGACTGGGGCTTCGAGAGCCTGGTGATGAAAAAAGGGGGAGAAGACGCATCGGAAGGCCATCGCACTCACAGAGCAGGGACGCGAAAAGAGCGAGAGAGAACAACACTTGACTAATCATTACCCAAAAAGAAATCTCCACCACCAGCGGCTCTTGTGCAATTGTTCACTTGCACACAGTTAAAACCGGGATGCTCAGAAAGTAGTTGCATCTAAATTTATGAGGATGTTTTTTTGAAATTCGGAAATTTGCAACTAATCCTAAAATGTAGCACCTATAAAATCACGTTCTGCCTCGCCCTACTCAAAGTCACATCTGAATTATGAGCAGAGTTCTGACCCAGATTTACACTCCGATTAGGCTAATTAGAGTCATTTGTAATGACTGCTGGATAGGTTTAGCAAGTTTGATATCAATTGGACTAAATGGTATGTGTGTCAGCTTTGACCTTTTATATCCATACATTATCCATCCCTAATGTTTGACCTTTAATTGAAGCGCTTTTATTATGGAAGAATGTAACACTCTCCATGCTGGTGCTGAGGTAGGATGATACTGTATGCAAAGATAGGAAACGATGCTCTTCGTACAAAAGAGGATCACAAAAGGATTTAGCAAAAAAAAAAAAAAAAATGTTCCCACAACAAATATGTGATCTCCAAAGGTCACCTTATAGCCAGCTGTTCGCAACGCACTGCCGCCAAAAACAACTTGTTCTTCAAATACTGGCGCAGCTTAACTAAATATTTATGGCCGCTGAAAGGACAGGGCCGACTTCCAACATTTGTTGTGCTAGCTGCTGTTGCACACACTTTCATTGCGGAGGTAAATTGAGGTCATATGTTTATAATTTGCCCTTTTCCTAATGCTGCCATTGGAGTAAAATAACATTTGAGAGCTGCAATTAGATTGAACCGCGCAATACTCCAGCAAATTAAGTCATATTTCAAGTTCAATAACGATCAAGCTGGCCAGATAAAGGCCAGAGAGAGAAAGGGAGCTGGAGTGTGGTGCAACAATCTGGAAGCTTTTTTTTTTTTTACAAGGCTTAGTTCTATTGTTGAGTTAGAAAAGCACTCAGCGTCTGTGCCTGGATGAACAGTGGGCTGGATGTGAGCATCTCTGACTATTGTTGCCAATTCAAAAGGCTGACACCGCAATGAGAATGAGGAGGTGTGTGACTGCGTGCCACTACATGCAAAACACATATGTATAAAATGCAGAGAAGGGAGCCTGGGATAGACACTATGGCTGTGCCCGAATCAGAGTTTTCCAAATTGCAACTGATTTGCCAGACTGGTGGGATTCTTTATTTTAAGTTCCTTCATATTCACACATATTAGGTTTCAAATTTTACTTGCAAGACTCCACACGGTCAAAGAAATAAAAAGTTCAGTCGTAAAATCTTAAGTTGGGCTGCAACTAATCATCATTTTATCATTTTCCTAATTAATTGATTAGTTGTTTGGTCAATAAAATGTCAGAAAATGTTGATCAGTGTTTCCCAAAGCCCAAGGTGACTTCCTCAAATGTCTTGTTTTGTCCCCAACCCAAAGATAGTCAGTTTACTGTCACAAAGGACTAAAGAAACTAGAAAATATTCACATTTGAGAAGCTGAAATCAGAGAATCTGGACATCTGTTCTTTAAAAAAATCAATTAATCAGTTATCAAAATAGTTGGTAACTAATCGATTAAAATACTAAGCATTGCTGCTGTAATCTTAAAGCGGAGTGTCTCAGTCTCCTGTGTGGCCCCCTTTGCCCCATTTCCAACACAATTAGTTTTACAACGAGGTCATTTTCAGACACAATTAAGTCTGTAAAACTTTGTAGCCAGCTGTGCTGTTATCCTGCGTTTCTTTGTGTAATGGCACAGCAATAAAAAAAAAAAACGTCTGATGTTCCGACTGCCAACATGAGGTTCGAGTTGGTGGCTCTTTGACTGACTCATCAATCTGTGGAGGGCCTCAAAAAGACAAGTTCCTTTGATCACTGTACAAGTTAGTAATCCTTTTACAGCCAGAAAGGGGGGACTTGGAAATGGAAAGAGTATAAAAAGGAGGAGAGAAACAAAAATTCCAGTTCCAACATATAAAAAGACAAATGAGAAAAGGTACTTATACTTGTGGAGTATAGATGCAGAGAATTCCTTCCAAACATATAAACACAATCTGTCACACAGCTAGCAGTGTCAGCCTCTACATATTTGCCTGTTTCTGCTGGAAAGAAACAGCAGAAGCTTTATGCTTGCAGTAACTGGAACTATTTAAGATGCCACAAGACAAAGACGAGTTCATTTTTCATACTGGGGAAATCAAGAGTTAAGGCGAAGTGGATTTTAGCTCTAGGTTTGCACTCAACTACAGTCTCTCTGACACACATGTTCCCGTATGCAACCCTGGTTCTGTGTGCATGTGTGTCCTTCATCTTGCCCTTCTCATCCCTGCCCTACTCTCCGCCACCGGCCTAACCATGTGAACATCTCTTCCATTACCGCCCTTGACACTGTGGCCAATTGGATTCTTATCTGCCATCTGTAGGCCGACGCTCAGCCTGCGCTATCTCTCGCCACAGCCTAATTGAATCTCAAGTGTTGGAAGTGCAGTGATACACTGACCACACCGTGTCACTGCCAATAGATAAGGGCTGCTGTTGGAGGATTGGACCGTCACAATCACGATGGGGACGCGTTGATAAAGGGGTGACAAGCGGTTTGGGTTGGTACTGTGTCGGTGGGACTTTACTTGGATTGAGAGATAATGGATACCCTCCATTACTGGGAAGGTTGTGTTCATATCCAATAATCCTATATCCCATAATCCTGCTGTGCTCAGTGGGTAATTTGTTGAAACCTAACCAGGGGAAAGTAGGGCATGGTGCTGCTGATTTCCATCGATTTCTACATAAAACCTAGATTTTACTGTTTACAGGAGGGATTGCATCTGATATTTTGGTTCATTTGCTGCCACAAAAATGCTTATGTGGGTCTACGGTGTTCTAAAACCAGGTAAACCAACCTGAACCTGCGCTACACCGTGAGAGAAAAGTTAAATAACCGATCCTCCTCTGAAAATGACTTCAGTTTTGACACAAAAACAAAAGGAATCACAGTTTTGTTGATGCTCCAGAGAAACCTCAGGGTTTTGGAGTAGTGATGAACCACAAGCCTCATTACCTGCTCTGTTTTAGCTCACATTTTTCTTGTTAAGCAGGTGACCTTTTCAATTTAGAGAATCAAGGCACTGGCGTGGCAGCCTTTGGAGCTGCTTTGCTTAATTTATCATCGGCTAACCAATCAGAAAGAGTCACCTTGATGCTAGAAAGTTTAAAGTTAACCAGCAAACAACAAAACTTTAAAGTTAAAAAACTTGTGATGATTTTTGGAGGTCAAAGTATTAAAGGATGTCTCCTACCTTAAGAGGCCAAATCCTTTCTTTTTGGTCTTCTTCTCCAGATCCTCGGCAGAATCATCTGTTTTCTTCTTCCCTTTGCTCTTTTTCTCCTTCTTTTTCGGTTTGGTTTTCTTCTTCTTCTTCCCGTCCTCTGCGTCCAGGTCCTGGCGAGAGGAGCTGCTGACGGGCGTTTCGTGACCGGAGCTGTGCTCTGACAGGTCGTCGTCTGAGGAGGAATGAACAGTTCGGGCAGTTAGACACGGGTGTGCAAGAGGTCGTGGTGTATGTAGAGAGACAAATGGAATACTCATAAATGCAGCTGCATGTATTACATTTATCATTTCATTCGGTATGCGTGTACGTTTCAGTGCGCTGTTGAGACATCTGCTCAGTGAGTCTTCTATTAGTCAGCCTTTCTCCCAGTGCAGGGGGGCTAGCCAGAGGCAAGTCTCTACACCTGGATGAGCTTCTAACAGCAGTCGTATCCAGTTTCTTATGTTGAATTTTTACCTACATGCAAAAGCCAACCCAAAAGAAAACAAAAGCTGTAGTTAAAATAATTTTCATTTAATAGTTTCATGTTTGATTTAAAGTAACAGAACACAGATTTAGGTGGCCTGCTAAAGAAATAAATCTGTGCTAAATTTAACTCCTATAATTGTATAATAAGTCTGACTTCTCATCCATTGCCACTGTAGATGGGTAATTCTTCACACTCCAGATGTCTCTAAACATCGTTAGTCAACTCACTCATTTCAGCAAACACTGGGGATCATTTCCTCAGTAATCACACAAGCTCAACATCCAACATGTCTGCGGGCTCACAAGGTAGTGCATTCAAAATATGCTGCTCTAAGATATAAAGTTGCTCCTCCTAAAATGCTGAGTGGATAAAATCATGTAGCATTTCATTAAGGTACTTAGGCTAAGCACTGTCCCTTGGCAGGCCTCTGGCTCTTCTTGAGTGCCAGTGTGTTATAGCCTAAGGGATGTGCATTGGCAGTGTAGTGTCTCATTTAAAATGGATACAATGTCTAGGAAGGAATCCTATATTAGAGCACAGTGACAGTCATACATTAAAAAGGACAGCTCTGTCTCTTCTTTTTGGCTTCTACAAGTTCACAATTTTACATTTCTTTTAAAACTGTCTAAACCAGTATTTCTGTTTTTAAAATGCGAGGGAGAAGCCTTACCATCTTCAGAAGGTCCATCGTAGGATTTGTCGATGGCGTTGCGGAAACTCTGGTTGCATCCCCGACCTCGGACCATGTGCGGCCGCGGGCGGTGAAACGGCACCTGGGCTTGGACGCGACTCTGCTTGGCCTCCGACACGGCCGTCTGGAGACTCTCCAGGGAGCTGGACTTCCAGAGGCCCAGGGTCGGGCCCAGCGCTCCGCCGGCTGAAGGCTCTGATAGACAAAAGAGACGGGAGAGGGTGGGAGGGCCTGTGAGTGACGAGGTGGATGGATGTTAAACGGAGGATGAGAGGGAGGGCAGGGGAGATAAAAGAAGCCCGGCTGATGGAGGAGGAGTGAATTTCGCTCCAAAATGAGATATGCTGCCACTGATAGAATGAGACAGAATGATTTTAAGTTTTAAAGTGACTCTGGGGATTGAGATCATAGGCTTTAAGCAAAACTTACCCCACTGCTTACAAAACATTAAACCAGTACTCGTCTCCTAGCGTAATATTTCCTTATTTAAAGGGCATCTGCAATAAACTTTCTCAAATCCTAATGCTCCCTGAGATTGAACAGAGGTTAGGATCAGTTCATAAAAGAATTGCAGGAGAGTAAGAAAGAGCTGGGGAGAGAAATTTTGGAGGAGTTATGGGAGGGTGCACTGGAGTAAGTCCATATTTAATCCATTTGTGCCAGATCAGACCTTATCCAGTGTAAAGTTTGCATTGTGTCTGCTGGACCAGATCAAGGCTATCCAAAATGTATATATATATCTTACAGAAGGTGTCAGATTGTAAAGCCCCTTGAGGCAAATTTGTGATATCTGGCTCAATAAACTTGAGTAATCATTCTCTGAGAAGTCTTTCACACATGTTTTTAGTCATTCCCATCTCTTAAAAACTATTAGAGAGATCATTTCAAAACACTCCTCAAATATTTATGAGGCTCGGCTCGAGCCCCACGCTCTCATTGCAATATTTGGAGTCACTCCTCCAACACAGCTTTGAAATTAGATGTTACTGCTTCTCTGACCTTACTTGCTAGACGCCTGATTGCGATTAAATGAAAATCTCCTGCACGCCCCTCTCAGAGCCTTATGGGTCATGTATTCTGTTTTAATGTTGGAATTGGACGTTTTGTTATTTTTAAACGTGACATTTTGCAGATGTACAAAGACTGAGTCGGCTAAACACATACAAAACATTTAAGCCAGATCATTGGAGAAACTGGAAGATGAGAAAAAAGCCCTCTATGAGTATGAACTCCAGGGTTTATATTTATTTTCTTACTCCTGCTACTAGGTGAGTAATTCATTAGACATTTTACACATAAATATATTATTTAAAAGTAATGTATATGTTCATATAATGTTATAAATGGGGTTTTTATTTTGGTTTTCTATGTGTTAGCGGATGATGGCTTGTTATTGTGGTTTGATATAGCAATTTTCTAACCATACCTGACACAGTTCCCTTGTGGTACCCTCTGAATACAGAGTCACACCTAGAAGAGAATACTAATGACTTGTATGTTTTTGTATCTCACTAAACGATACGACTGAGCCTGACTCACAGTGCTTTTGTAGCCTCCTTTTTGCTGTTCTTCCTCCTCCTCTTTGGGTCTTGTGTTCTGTTTGGTCTTTGATTGTATTAGCCGCTGCATTTGATGTAATTACTTCTTGTTACTGTTTGTATGCTTTGAAATCAATAAACATATGGGGGGAAATGGCATTGAATACTGCAAATAAAAGCTCTTAAACTAGAAATGATCAAACAACACATATTTTGAAGCATGGGGTCAAGCTTTGCAGGACTAAAGATTAAAGAAAACAATTAAAGGACTTTTTCAACAGTTGTAATCGATTAATACATATTTAAATTCACACAAAATACACATTATTTGATTATATTTGTATCTATATTTATAAAGAACATATTAAAGATACAAATCTTAAGCCTTGACATTCTGGAAGAGTTAGATGTAGACTGAGTCAGCCTTTCAAACTTTGTATGGACAACACAGTATGAGATCACCTCAGCTATCAGCATCAACTCCCACACTTTCCTCCTAATGGATATGGCTTTTCTGGAATGAAGCTCAAAAACCCCAGACATATAAAGCTATGAAGATGAAATGTAGAGAAAGAGAGGGAGAGGGTGAAAAACAGCCTTGACAGAGATGGGGAGAAAGTCAGAGTCCTATAGGAGCGACATAAAGGATGGGAGAAGAAACGATGAATGAGGTGGAGTAGTACAGGGACAGGTGAGGAGCAGCAGTATGGGAACTGACAGGCTCATGCATAAGCAAAAGAGAGGCGGAATAAATGAACTGCCATCATACTGTACTCGGGTACGGCCTCCATGTCGAGAGAGGAAGAAAGGGGAGACGGAGGAGCAGGAAAGCGATGAAGGCCACAGCTGATTCAGCAGGGGATCGGAGAGTAGGGGAGGAGGCACCGGGGAAAGGCGAGATTTGGGGGAAAGCAGAGCTGTAAGGGAAAAAGAAACGGAAAAAGTGACACAAAGGAGAAAAAGTGGCAAAGTGGAAAGCGCCCTTCGCGGTGTGAGAAATTGAAGGACAGGTGACCAAGAGCTGGGTGGAGGAGAAACCTTTTCAACACAGGAAAGCAAGTAGTCTACACAGCAACCCACCCCGGTTGTATATCACAATGAAACAGTGACAAGCACTCTTCAAAGAAGTTACAGACAGGTTGCAAGCAGCGTTTTTTTCCTTTCTGAAACTTTCCTGTAGGGATGACTTTCTCGCATCATGGCACTCACTGCTTAAAACTCTCTCTTTTTTTTTTTTGTCATT